TAGGTTTCTGTTCTAAAAGCTGGTAATTGAACATTTCGTTTTTCTCTTTTAAATGTTTTATAAGAAAAAATGAACCAACTATAACTTATTGAATAGTTTGTATTTTCATCTTATTGAGAATTGAATATATCAATTTCTTCAATATGTTTTATTCATATTAGTTTAATATCTTTTCAACATTTGTCACTTAAGTGTTCTTCATTTAAGTTGTTGTTTGATTGTTATTTTGGTTTTGATATGTAGTAAAATTCACCATTCTTTATTTTCATGTTTTATGACAAACAAATCATTAACTCTATGACTATGAATCATTTCATTGAATATCAACAATCACCTTTGATTGATAATGCACATGATATGTTCAATTCAAAATTTACATTATCAAATATAATTGAATGTTGACAAATGAATAATACTTCATAATAATAAATAACTAATAATATACCATAATAAATAATACTACAATCATAATCATTACTTCATTAATCATTATTTATAATAAATATTAATAAATATCAAATAATTAATATCGAATGAATAATATCTCAGAAAACACAATATCATATTCAATATTATTTGATATTTCATTATTTGATTTTATATTACTGTTTTTGATTTTCATTATTCATTTCTCATTTAATAAAATAGAAGAATGAAAATAATAAAAGAAGAATAAAAGTCAAAAAAAACAGAAAAAATAAAAAAAAATATTAAAAAAAAGAAAGAAAGATCTTGAAAATTATATTGTCGATGAAAATCATCATAAATTTGTTATTTTTGTGTGTAGCTTTTGCATATATTCCAAGAACCGTCAGTGTGATTGAATTGTTTGAAAAGGTTTACAACAGTCAAACAAGTGAATATTTAATAAGTGATTGGAAAAAAGAGAATAGTAGTATAAGTAAATTCACTAAGATGGATGATGAATTAATTTACCATTACGGTAAATACACTGCATTGCTACAAAAATTTATTTCTATTTTAAACAGTCAAATAAAAGAAGTTAGAAATAAAATGAATAAAGATGAAGAAGAATATAAACAAAAGAAAGTTGAAGTAAAGTTATATAAAGAAGAAATAATAAATGCAAAAAAAGGTAATGATGTAATTTTAGTAAATAAATATGAAGAATTGTTAAAAAGTGCAGAAGAAGAAATGAAAACAGCAAAAATAAAAAAAACAGAAGAAATGGAAAAATTAAAAGTGTTATTCCCACAATTAAAAATTTCAAAAGAAAAATTAGAATGGGTTGAAAGCCAAACAAAAGCTATTGGTAAAAATGAAGAATATATTCTTGAACAATGGAAAATAAGAAATCAAACTCTTATTAATGAAAAGACTAATTTTGTTGAATATTTACAAAATGGAAGTAAACTTATTAAAGAAATTAAAGAAGCAAATGACTTATTAAATCAAATTGAAAATAAATTTATTGAACGTAAAAAATTGAATAGTACTTATATTCAAGAATTAAACTTCGCTAAAAAATCACTTATTAATGAAAAAAATCAAAGAATTCGTAGTCTTGTTCAACTTTATTTCAAAGTCATTTTTAATTATTTAAGAAGTGAAAAAAGTATTATTAATTCTATTAGTAGTATTGATGAAGATTTTATTACAAATGAAGCTGAAATTCAAAATGAATTTATTGCGTTAAAAGGATTAGAAGAACTTAATGACCAAAGTATCTCTTTTGAAAAGTTAAATGGAGTAGAAAGGACTATTCTTTCAGCACAAACATTAGTTATTCAAACTGAAGATCTTATTCAACAAAGAAGAAATGAAATTAAAAAATTAATGATGAAAGGCGTTGAAAGTATTATTGCACAAGCAAATGATGATTTATTACAAATGGAACGTGAATGTAGCCGAAATATTACTGAAAACAAATTAGTTCAAGACAAAGAAATTGCAGTACTAAAAGACCTTGAAAAGAAAAATGGAACAATTTCAGCACCTATTGAACCAATTAGTGATTGTGAAAATGATGTTAAAATTATGAGACTTTTTGCTGGACTTGGAGAAAAATTCTTTAATAAATGGTGTGACGTTTATCATAAAGAAATTAATACAAGAAGAATTTATATTAAAGCTAAAATTTTAAGTGCAGAAGAAGGAATGGAACAAAATAAAAGAGATGTTGAAGTAGTTAGAACATATGAAGAACAAAGATATTATTTAGGAAAATATGGAAAAGAACAAGAAATGACTAAGTATTGGAGAAAAAGATTAGATGGTGTTGATGAAATTTTAAGAGAACTTCAAGCTGTTGAAATAAGAAAGTTACAAAAGAAAATTGAATTATTGAAAGAGAAAAGTACTCAATCTGAAGTTATTCATCGAATGGTAGTTGATTGGTTAAAGAAAGAATTTGAAGATGCTAAGTCTAGAACTGGTGTAGGTATTCCAATTATAAAGAAATATAAAGAAAAGATTGAAGCTCAAGTTCAATTACCAATTTTAAATAAAAAGAAACAAGAAAAAGCTTTTAAACCAGTTAATACTACTCAACAAAACAAACCAGTTAATAATACTCCTAAACAAAAAATTCAAGACAATAAACAAACTAATAAATCTAATCAAAAGAAGCTAAATAAACCTAAAACAAATGACGTTGCTAAACAAGTGTTAAAGGCTTCTAGTGCTGGAAAAGAAAGTTCTCCTATGACACCTGCTTTATCTAATGGAGAGTCAACAGTTAAAAAATAAATTAAGTCATAAATTTGTTTTCAATTATTATTTTAAATAAGTTATTGAAAAGCAGCCCACATTACCATATCATTTAATTTGTTCTTATCAGCTCCAGAAAATTCTGACAGTTTTTTTCCTGATGAATAAAATTGAAAAGTTGGCATACAACGAATACCACATAACATTGATATTTCATGTGCTGTGTCAACATTTACTTTACAAAATTTAACATTTGGATATTGTCTTGAGTATTGTTCAAATAATGGACTTATAAAACGACATGGACCACACCACTCTGCATAAAAATCAATAATACAATCATTTGTTGAAATAATTTGTTGAAATTCTTGAAGAGAATTTAAATGAATAAGAGACATAATTATTTAATTTTTCAAAATAGTTCAAATGAACTGAAAACAAAATTGAAAAGAGTTTTATTAAAAATTGAAGATTCAAATTAATTTTTACTTTTAAAAAAAAAAGAAAATAATATGAATATATCTATTCACCACTTTTAATTACTACTATTCTACAAGAATAGACTTTCAAAAATACTTTTCCTAAATATCAGAATTTCAATTGTTTTAATGTTTATTAAATTATTTGATATTAAATATTAAACTAAACATAAAATTAAAATTTCTTTTTTATTCAATTCAATTTGTTCTAATAAATTTTAGATTTAATATAAAACACAAACATTATCAAAATATGAATAAATACATTAAATAATTGAATTTAAAATATAAAAGTAGTTCATTGATGAAGTATAATATTACTTTTTAATAAAAGAGTCGAGAAAATAGAAATTTTAATAATTATTTGTAAAAAATAAAATTTATTTTCTATTAGAATAAATAAATCTTTATAGAAATTTTAATTGATCAATTTAAATTCCAATTTAAAAAAAAAACAAATGAAAAATTCAAAAATGAAGATTTAAAGAAACCCTTACTATTTTTTAAATTCCATATCCAATTCAAACTATTAGAATTCTATTTATCATTTTCTTATAGTAAAAAAGGTTTTAAAAAGGATTAAATAAAAACTTATAAAGAAAATAAGATGTCAGCAATCCTTGATCAAATAGAATTTTACTTCTGTGATTTAAATCTTATTCAAGACACTTTTTTGAAAGGAGTTATTGAAACTAGTAATGGTTTTGTTACTATTGATACCTTAATGGGGTTTGTTAAAGTTAAAGAATTAACAGAAAATAAAGAAGAAATTATTAACGCCCTTTCTAAATCTTCTTTCCTTGAACTCTCAGAAGATAAACAATCTGTTAAAAGAAAAACCCCTCTTCCAACTGAAGAAGAAATTAATAAACGATCACTTTTTATTAAAGGTTTTGGTAAAGATGCTACAAGACAAGAAATTATAGATGCTCTTAATAAATTTGCACAAGTAGAATGTATTAGAATGAATTATGGAAGAAATAAAGAAGGACAATTTTATCTTGGAAATGCTTTTGTTGAATTTGTCAGTGAAGCAGAAAAAGATAAATTTATCAATTCTAAACCTACTTTTAAAGAAATTCCATTGGAATTTAGACCACGAGCTGAGAAAATTGCTCAAAAACAAAAAAATAAAAAAACATCTCAAAAAGCTGAATATAAAATTATTGTTTCTGTTAAAGTATGTAATAGAGATTTAAAAAATGCTATAAAGAATAATGATTTACTCAAGTCAAATGTTGTAAAATATTTCGTCGATAGACCTCCTTCATCTGTTGAAGAAAAGAAAGATGAAACTACTCATAACGAAGATACTACAAAAGAGGATACTACAAAAGTTGAAGGTGAAAAAGAAGAGATTACAAAAGTTGAAGATAAAAAAGAAGAGACTACAAAAGTTGAAGGTGAAAAAGAAGAAAATAAAACAATTCAAAAAAAAGAGAAAAATAAAAAAGAAAACGATGATAGAACTAAGAATGCTTTTATTGCTGTTAAAGTTAGTCCTGATTTAGAAAAAGTAAAAGAGGCTTTACAGCAACTTAAATTCTATGGTAAAGAGGTTGTTGTTTCTGAGTGTACACCAGAAGAAAGTCAAGCCTTTAAGTCATTTACTATTCCAGTAAAGAGTAAACCTAAATTTTTTGGAAAGAAAGGAAAAAGAGATTGAAATTAGTAAAATGATTAAATAACTTTATTTAAATGAAATTTAATATTA